TAGGGTTTTTGAACTGATTTTATGAAATATTGGGAGTCACTACCAATAATTTTTAGGTGCAATTGGGACATAATAAAAATGGGTAATTTAATAAAAACATTTTATTTTTATCAAAATACCAAGTTTAGAGTTTGAGAAAACTAGAAAATAGTTCAGGAGTCGATTACGTGTGGGGAAGGTTTAGCACTCCCACCGCGCCCAGAAAGATTATCCTATGTTTAAAATTTGGAAATTTTTTATTTTGAAATTCATTTAATTTAAAAATCATTATGGATGCAAAGTTCAAAGAGGGTATTCGTTTATTGAGGACAATAATATTCACCCCTAGCATGAATGTGGAAGATCAATTATTGTTCCCATAAATGAACATTGCCTTGGGAATTAAGAAATTATGATGCAGTTATGAAAAAATGATGTTGACCTACTTCGGAAATCACCAGTAGTCACCCTCTGAGCATGATTACGGGAGATATACTATTGACTCCCTAATAAGTGAACATTGCCTTGTAATTAAAACAAATGCAATCAATCAATTGATTAGGACCTAATTTATGCCAAGTGAGTTAATCAAATGCTTTCCCAATTTAAAGTGTCAATTTATGAAATTAAAAACCCTATAGGATTAAACCTAAAATGAGGTCTCTAATATTTACTCTATTATCTCTTTATTTAACCAATTATGATATCGGATAATTGATTTGACCCATCATACATTTTAGTGAGAAAGCCCAAATCGATCCCCTAATTAAAGGAAAAAGGTGAAATTAAATCTAAGATGTAAGCTCTAATCATTTATCTAATCAATTATGTCAATTGGATAATCTAACTAATAGTTTAGGGACTAAAATGTGAAAAGTCCAAAGTTTAAAGACTATATCTAATATTTAGGGCTCTATATGTTAACCTAATTTTATCAAACTAAAGTAAACATAGATAAAGATTTGAAGGAATAAAATTAAACAAAGGCTTTAAAAAATTAATAAATTAACCGATTGTTGATTTGAACAATCAACTTGAATAATCAAGCATTTTATGCTAAAATTCAAGTCAGATTGTTCTCTAATTAAATCTAATATGAAAATAAACCTAAAAATTGATTTTGATATGATAAAAAAATTGATCCCATACTATAGGATACTTTTTATTGAGTCAATAGGTTAACACCTAGCTCAGATGGATGTCAATTTGTTTTAGCAAAAAATGACAAGTTTAGAACGTATGAATAGTCAAATAACTATTTTGTAACTTTTAATAGTAAAGAGACTCAATAAAATAATATTTTATAGTTGAGGGATCATTTTAAAAATTTTACTAATCAACGGACTCAATAAAGCAACACCATATATTCAGAAGTTCATATGTATACTTTACCCTTTATTAATTGTACTCACTCTAAAACTATTTCTATCCAATGATATACAAAATAAATATATTCTTAAAAATATTTTAAACGCAAGATTGTATTAACAGTCATTAATTTAATTAATTTTTTATTAATGCTAGGTTTAATACAAAAATAAATGTCTAAACTATACTCAAAATTTACTTTTGGTGCCTTAAGAATTTTTTTTTCAAAAATAGATGCTTAATGTTTTCTGTTTACATTTTTATGTGTCAACTGTTAAGAAAAATATTCAGTGATATGTGTCATATTTATATACTTTTATATTTTTAAAAAATAAAATATTTTCTAAAAATATTTTTTCAAAAAATATAAATGTGACACATTTAATGATTTTTTAACAATAAGTATTTAATAATATAATGAAAAAAATATTAGACACCCACTTCCAATAAAATACTCTTTGTATAACAATAATTAATTTTAAATATAATTTAAACGCTGATTTGTATATAAGCCTCGATCCTAAGGGTCTATAGGAACGTTAATTTACCTAAAATTTCAATTGATTATTTAAAGAACCTTAAGCCTAAAAAATCTTAAGCAAGGTCAATGTTCGAATTTTGGTGTTTGTGAATGAAGAAAACTGGGTTGGGAGGGTCGCATTCGCCTCGACGGTACCCGATCTGGATTAGTCACTCAATAGATTGAATATCAATGAAGCAAGGTCAATGTTCGAATCTTGGTGTTTGTGAATGAAGCAAACTGGGTTGGGAGGGTCGCATTCGCCTCGACGGTACCCGATCTGGATTAGTCACTCAAAATAGTAGTATTTTGATAATTAAAAAAATTCGAGAAAACCAACAACCAGTTTATCTAGTGGGATGAGGCACTAGGTCTCTTAAGCAAGGTCAATGTTCGAATCTTGGTGTTTGTGAATGAAGCAAACTGGGTTGGGAGGGTCGCATTCGCCTCGACGGTACCCGATCTGGATTAGTCACTCAATAGATTGGATATCAATGATTAATTACTCGGACGACCCTTCCGTCGAGAACCGGTTGTCGACCAGTTTCAATGTCAAGACGGAGAAGGTTGCTAACTGGAGGGATTTTCTCAGAGTCCATTGCTACACTATTGAAGATCATGTTAAACAATGGCCTTCGAATCCCCCATCCTTCAGGTTAATATCATATTAATTAGCAAATATTTTTCTAGAATACATTACGCATTTAATCATTTATCTATCACTTTAGTCCCGTTTTAATCAAGGACGTAATTATTCTTCGTCCCGGGAGTCACTGTCCTCTATTTTTTCTATAAATTAAAAAATAAATAACTAAAAAATTATCACATCATCATTGAAAAATAAAAAAAAATTATCACATTAGTAATTTTTATTTTTTCTAACATCAAATGACCGAAACATAACGTTAGTGATAATTTTAAAAATAAATAATAATTACGTGATCAAAACGAAACTGTGAGAATAGATGAGTGACTAAATATATAGTTTATCACATTTCTTATGTTTTAACTTTTAGAGTAAACTACGTATTTAGTCACCCACCTATTCTCGTAATTCTATTTTGATCACCTAATTATTTCTTTTTAAAACTATATCTAACGTTATATTTTGATATCGTTTTGATCACCTACAATTAAAAACTAAAAAGAATTACCGACACAATAATATTTTTATCTTTTTCTCAATGATGATATGTTACTATTTTATGGTGATGCGGACTTCTAATAGTGGATAAATAAAACAAAATTTAAATGTAATAATGTTATGTATAATTTTAAAAAAATAAATAGTTAGTTGACCAAAATAAAACCACGAAAATAAGGGGGAATGATTAAATACAAAATCAAAATATAATATTATGTATAATTTCTATGTTACAGGAAGGATGTGGTCGAGTACTACAGTAGCATGAGGGATTTAGTGTTGAGATCAGAGTTTCAAATCGCGATCGCATTTTCGGTCATTTCGTTTTTACCTCTAATGCGGCCATAACGGGCGCTACTGCAGTCGTAGCGGGCGCTATTGGGTGCTACTGCGGCCGTAGCAGGCGCTATTACGGGTGTAACGGAAGGCAGCGCTACCGCGATTTTGCGGGCGCTATCACAGTAGCGGAGCGCTATTTGAAACCCTGGCCGAGATTGCTAGAAGCCATATCCGAGAGCTTAGGGTTGAAGAAGGATCATATAGACAAGACACTAGGCAGCCATGGACAACATATGGCTTTGAACTACTATCAGCCATGTCCACAACCACCACTTACCAATGGATTACCAGGCCATACCGACCCTAATTTAATCACCATCCTCCTACAAGATGATGCCCCTGGATTACAGGTTCTCAGAAACGGCGAAAGGGTTGCCGTTAATCCCATTCCCAACACCTTCATCGTCAACATCGGCGATAAAATGCAGGTGAGTTTTAAAAGGCTATAATATTAAAATTAATCCCTAATATCTATCGAAATGGTCATTTTAATTTATAATTTTTTAAACATTTTGATTCCGAAGGTTTTATCTCGGGTGAAAAGAATTGAATAGTCATTTTATCTCTTATTTATTTTTGCTTTATATTACAAATAAGTATTTAATGTATATCATCATTTAAGTACCTAAAGTACTTTTTAATCAAAAATAAGTACTCAAAATTATATTTTTGATCAAAATAAACAAATATTTTTTTGATTAAAATAGGTATAGAAAGTATTCAAATTTTTCATCGAATACTTGAAATATTCTTAAACTAAAATCATGTCAACATTCTTAAAATTTAAATGAAAAAGATTGAATATTTTAAGTACATATTTTAACAAAATATACTTTAAATACCTATTTTAACCAAGAGTATTTTAAGTATTTGTTTTAATTAAAAATAACTTTAGATACGTAAATGAAAGGATTATATGTTTTAAATACTTGTCATATAATTTTTTTTTTAATATTTTTGCTTCCGATGTTTTATTTTAATGTAAATAATGTTAATCATTTGTTAATTAACGATTTTTATCTCAAAAATAATTTTTTTACTTTATGTCATGTCAATTTTACTCTAAAATGATATATAAAATTATACATTGACAGCCAAATACTAAAAAATATACTTTGAGATACTTATTTTTGACATGCCATTTAAAGTGTTCTTATTTTTGCCAACAACCAGTTGGTCTAGTGAGATTAAGTACTAGGTTCTTTAAGCAAAATCAGTGGTTCGAATCCTGACGTTTGTGAATGGAACAAACTGAATTAGAAAGATTACCTTCGCCTCTACAATATTCGATCTGGATTAATCAGTCAATAGATCGGATATCAGTAAATAATTAAAAAAAAGTGTGCTCCATCAAGCTTTTGTGAACTGCAACAGAGAACGAATCTCCATCCCTACTTTCTACTGTCCCTCGTCGGACGCTTTGATAGGCCCTGCAATGGAGTTGATCGACGATGACCACCTGGCAGTGTATCGATGTTTTACCTATGGCGAATTCTACCACAAGTTTTGGAAGAGGGGGCTTGCTACTGAATGCTACCTGGACATGTTCAAAACTTCTATTGCTTAATCATCTCATAAAGTTGATTACCCAACCTGATGAAACATTTCTACAAATAAATATAAACGAATGGTTCACGAACAGTTTACCGAACACTCTGTTCATTTATTCATTTATTGACGCTCTATCTGAATAGTCACATGACTGATATTGTATTCTCTCCTGATGTAATCTACAACCTTGTTCAATACCATGTCGGCATTAGCTTCACGCTTAACTAAGACATGGCAAGCTAATAACACCTTACCAACAGTTATGGCCCAAATGTGCAGTTCATGTACCGCGACCACCTCGTCCATCTCGCATAAACCCTTCTCGAGCCTTGTGGCGTCGATTTCCCGGGGCGTGCTCTCCATGAGAACTTCCAAGATGTTTCGCAGCATCCTGATGGTTGTTCCCAATACGATAACGGAGAATATAAGGGTGCATATCAGATCGATTATTTTCCACTCGGGTTTCCACCATATAATTGCTCCACCAATCATCACTCCAATGCTCTGTATGGAATCCCCTAGGACATGAAGATAAGCCCCTTGTATGTTGATGTTTCTTTCCTTCTTTTTAGGTTCTCCGCTTTCTGGCTTTTTTTCGCAGTCCGAGTATGTCTTAAGCAGAGGCACTCGATGGTCAGGTTCAGCTTCTTGAGTATCATGATGCTTATCGGGTAGCTTAGAATTTGAACCAAGATGATGTGAAGTTACACTAAATCCATGATTATGCGGTTCAGTGCCATGTCTATGACTGTGATTATGGTGGTCGTGATCGCTCCCGCCATGGCCATGACCATGGTGATGCCCATGATCATGGCCCAGAATGAGAGCCATAGCAATATTAACCACAAGGCCAAATGCGGAAACCATGAACATTAGAAAGCCTTGAACTTCACCTGTACCGTGAATAAGTCTAGCTATGGCTTCGTAAACAAGGATGCCGGCTAGAAGCCATATCATCTGGATGGAAACGAGGGCACCGAGGATTTCAACCCTGAAGAATCCGTAAGTTTGACGTGGAGTCGCCTCCCACCCCGATGCCCAAAGAGAGAACAAGGAGATTGCAAACGCCGCAACATCGGACAAGAGATGAGCTGCATCAGTTAAGATTGCAAGACTATTGGCTTTAATTCCTCCAGCTACTTCAACACTCATGAAAACAATACAGAGCACCACTGCTGTCAACAATTTCCGCATAGAGGCCGAACGTTCTTTTGCGTCTTTAGAAATGGTTTGAGCATCAGAAAACCCACATGCTGCACCTCCACAAATCGTACTTCCACCTACGCTCGTCTCTGCAGCTGGCACATCTCCTCTTATTTCAATTATTTGCCCTTGTTCCGAATTCTGCACTTCCATCTGAAAACAATATGAACAACACCGAGTACAGATAATTTATTAGCTCACAAACCGTAGAACAAAAAACCAAAATGAGATTGAATCAACAAGTTTAGCTAGATCAGTGTATTGTACAATAAAAAAGATGCTATATTCTCAGTTACCTGTTAAGAGGATACCGGAAACATCAAGTTACCATCTTTATCAGCGTCGAGTCATAAAAATACTAACGTTGACAGGGAAAATTGCAGAAATGCAGGTGACATGCAAAACATGGACCATGATAGGACATTTTGCGAAGTAGACAAGTTTTCATGGAGACTATTTGAAGGGCAATAACCGGTATGCTCGATTTAAAAGCATCCGATTCAATACACCTTGCGTAAGCATTTTTCCTTTCACTAAAATTTTGTGACTAAGATTCAAGAACACTACAGGATCAAATACAAACTCAGCAACAAACATCACAACTGCAGCCTATTTATTGGATCAGCAAAAGATTACAACAAGGCAATTCAATACCCAATACGACAAGCATCTTCCACGTACCGATGAATATACTCGAATATCCATGTATACATACATATACGATCGTAGCAGTTTTCGATTCTAGAATCAAACAAAGATCGGAAGAAATAGGTACTCAGAATCTAAATAGCGGTTCGCTATCCGAACAACGGCCTTTATATATCGGTAGCGGTTTCTGCATGACGACAATAGCACCCATTGTTTATGCAATCGCGATGAACGCATTGCGACCAACAAACCGGAATTTAAATCCCTGATTCAGATTCAATTTAAACTAAAAAACATCACCTCATTACTACATTAAGAACAATAATTTTCAATAGAACCGGTTGAATAATCGAATAAAAGAAAATGGATTTGCCTCGTTAAGCGGCTCTTCATTATCGTTTTCAGTTACTGCCTTCTCGGAAGAGTAAAACCCAAAGAGCAAATTAAAAATTTATATTCTTTTTGCTATCTTGCAGATTACAAAGAAAACCCAGATTCCAGACATGTTCGATCAAGAAAATAAAAAGGGAAAAGAGAACAAAAAGATACCTTTGATTGGAATAAAAGGAGAAGTAGCAGTGGTTGATGGCTCCTTTAGCTTCAATGAAAGCAAAAGAGCTATATAGCTTGAAGGCGAATGAAACTTAGGCGACTCTAAGCTTCAGAAATTTCCCAGTAATTTTATCTTCGCCGCCTCTTTGGAATTCTCTAGTGATCTTCTATGAATAAAAATCCAGACCAAGAACAAATTATTTTTTATTAGATTGTAATATATTAAAATAATATTTATTGAAAAGACCTTTTTAGGGTAAAGAACGTAAATGATATATTTTTAAACAAAATTAAAGAATAAAAAATTAATCAGATTTATAAAAAAAAAACACAACTCTTAAATAAAAAAGAAAAAAAAATTAATTCAATATTTTTAATCATTTGATAATAAATATTTAATTATTATTATTATAATCGTATTGAACTTAACACCTTTAAAAATAATAATTATCTCTTCAGGCATTAAATTATTTCATTCATGCAAAAGTAAACTAAATTAAATTGACATTTGATTAAGTAAATCCAATTTCAGTTGTATGATGTTTAATGGAACTACAAAATTGACTAAATAATAGAGCAGCACGTGTTGCAAAGGGGTATTATATACCCATATATCATTGGCCTTTTTATTCTAAGTGTAAAATTCATAAATCATCACTCGGGTTTCTTCTCATTCTTATTTTGATCAGTTAAGTTTAAAAATTTCCAATTTAATAACTAAATTTTATACATTAAATATTTTAATCATTTCGTCGTTAACTTTATAACAATATTATGACATGGCCTAATATTATTGCCAACCTTGGCCTCATGTCTTTGACAAACAACAATAATACATTTAATTAAAAGATAACAAATTTAAAACTTTTACGTGGAGAGAATCGACTATTTTCTTCGCCGTCATGATGAAGTTATTGAAATACAACAAGACTGTGATCACCCTCCAAAGTCGATACGTCAATTACAAAGCGGTGATCGTGAAATCCTTCGACGAAGGGACCCACGATCGCCCCTATGATCATTATTTAAGTAAGGTTATCTGCAAGGATTCTACCAAGAAAACAACCAAGAAGTCACACGTTAAGTGTTTTGACAACATGATGGACCTAGACAGGGTAAGTGAGGTTGGTCGTCCTTTTAAAAAATTTAAATTTTTATATATTTTAGATACGTTTATATTTTTTTATTGGAAATCTGTTTTCAACTCCTAAAATTTTATAAGTTTTATAAGTTTAAAAGATGTAAAAAAAATATGGATTACATTTAGTGACAGATCTAAAAATATTTTTAGAGTAGACAAGTATATGTTAATAACATAATATTTTTTAATAAAAATATATATAAATAAAATTTCAAGATGAACACAACCATTGAAATAGGTAACTACGTACCTAAAAAAAATTAAATTTCGTACTAAACATATGTTGGTGTGAGTTTTGAAGATGGATGAGAGAGAGGTTGAAAATGAGTCAGAAGAGATTAGATCGGTAGAATTAAAAATAAAGTGTAAAAAATGAGAGTTAAATTTATTATTATATTAATTTTATTAATTATAAAGTCATCTCCATTAATTTTTAACACAAAATGGCCGACATGAGTTATTTTTAACATAAAATGTGTTATTGATAAAGGGTTAGAATTAGGACCAAACAAATACGAAGTGTAAAGGTTGGGAGCTTAATTTATTAGGCACAATGATAAAAAACATGTTTAATGTTAGATTAAATAGCCATTTTGATTAAGAATGACAATAGGTCGGGTTATGGTAGGGTTTTTGTCAACTCGATCGGATCCAAAAATTTTATATCATACATCCAACCTGACCCGATCCGAAAAATATATCCTCCACTCGTATTTGACCCGACCTGATTTTTTAGAGTAAATCTAACCCGACCCGGTATAAATTAAGGATTTAATTAAAATAATGATAATTTTTTAAAGAATTATAATATTATCCTTGGGTCGGGTCAGGTCGGAGTTTTTTCACCCTCCACCTAAACCTGACCAGACCTAACCTGACTTCACCCCTTAAAAAATTGACCCGAACCCGATTTTTTATAGAAAAATTCAACTCGGTCAGGCTAGAAGCCAACAGATGCGGGTGATATTGTCATCCCTAATTTTGACTTTTTTTGTGAATATTTTGATCCTCAATGTTTCATCTTGGAACAAAAAGGCTCCTCCATAGATGGAAACGATTAACACTCTAAAATAAAAATTGTTTACCCTAAAAATGAAACATTAAAGGAGAGGGACAAATACTAAAAAATAATAAAGATCAAATAATTATTTAGTTAAACATTAAAGGCCTAATAACGGTGTTTGTTAGCAAAAACACCACTAATGTCTAGACAAACAGCGGCATTTATTTAATAAACACCACTAAAATATGAGTATGTTGCAGCGTTTGTCAAAAAACGCCACTAAAGTATGAGTTTTTAACGGCATTTTTCTAAAAATGACACTATAGTATTGTTTTGTAGCGGCGTTTGTTGAAAAATGCCACTAAAATATGGCTCTGTAGCCGCGAATATAATAAAAACGCGATTACAGTATTAGTCTGTAGCGGTGTTTTTGTACAAGCGCCGTTAATGTTTACCATTTTGTGGCATTTCACCTTAAAACGCCGCAATATCTATAAATTTAGTGGCGTTTACTTTCAAAATGTCATTGTATACGCCGCTATAGATCAATTTTGCTGTAGTGAGGGTAAAGTACACAAATAGTCCCCGACTATATAATATTATTTTATTAAGTTCATTGACTATTAAAAGTTACAAAATGATCCTCTGACTATAGGGAGTGACTTTGTTGAGTCCCTTGACTACTAAAAGTTACAAAATGGACACCCAACTATTCATTATGTTCCAAACTCATCTTTTTCCGTTAAAAAATTAACAATAGTTGAGTTGTACATTAACCTGATGAATGAGATATGATAAAATATGATCTCATAATCTCAAATGACTATTATATCTCAACCAACATGTTAACGTCCAACTCAAACGAACGACTATTAATTTTTTAACGAAAAAGACGAGTTTAGAACATAATGAATAGTCGAGTAACCATTTTGTAATTTTTAATAGTCGAGGGACTCGACAAAGTAACTCTCTATAGTTATATTATCATTTTATAACTTTTAATAGTTAATAAATTTAACTACGCAACTTTTTATAATAATAGGAAGATATTTTATAATCAAAGAAATATATTTTATAATTAGATGATCATTTTGTAAATTTTAATAATCAAAGAATGATATTTTATAATCAAATAATTATTGTATATATTACCATTTAAAAAATTTGAACCAATCCTCCACTCCAAGTAGGGGTGTAAATGAAGCGAGCTTGAACGAATAAGGTTATGTTCGTGTTCGTTTATTTATTTTTTGAAGGTGTTCGTGTTCAGTTCGTGTTCATTTAAATTTGCAATATCGTGTTCATGTTCGTTTATTTATTTTTGAAGGTGTTCATGTTCGTTTATTTATTGTTCACGAACATGTTCATTTAATGTTCACGAACGTGTTCGTTTATATGTTCATGAACATGTTCGTTTAATGTTCGCGAATGTGTTCGTTTATATGTTCACTAACACGTTCATGAACATATTCGTTTAGCGTTTATTTAGTGTTTGTTTATCGTTCGTTTATTTATTCAATTTTTAATTTCATTTGCAAGCTAAAGAAAAATGATAAAATTATGCCACTGATGCTTAAACTCCTTAAAATTCATAGTGTAAAATGCAACTTTTATCATATGTTCTATTTAATCCTTATCTTCATCAATATTTAAAATGTAAAAAAATGAAAGGAAACGGAGAATCGGGTAAACGGGTATGTTCATGAACATAAATGAATGAGTTAATAAACGAGTTCATAAACGAGTTCATAACGAGCTTGTTCATGAACATAAACGAGCCAAACACACATCTGTTCGTGTTCATTGTTTATTAAATAAACATAATTTTTTTTGTTCATGTTCATTTATTTAACTTAACATAAACGAATGTTATACAAACGGTTCACAAACAGTTTATCGAATGCTCTGTTCATTTTCACCCTAGCTCCAAGTATGGAATTGAGAGGATTCATCTATATCTGTGCACTACACTCACCGACTTGCAAACAAGGATACGTTGATTTGATCCTCCACCTGAAAATGAAATGTATATAACATTAAAAAGGGATAAATTTACAAAATTTTAAGAAGATATAAATTTAGGGGAGAAAATATATTATTAATTAAAAATATAACATTTAATTTTAAATACCTTTTTCTATTTAGGTATTTAAATTTTCTTTTGATTAATTCAGGTATTTAACATTACAATTGTTATCGTTTTAAATACTTCAACAGTAATTGATGTTAAAAAAGTCTGTTAAATGACACATGTCTCATTCAAATAACTTTTATTTTTTTGAAAAATGAACTAAAAGTACTTGAAATGTTATTATACTTTCAAAACCCTGATTTTTCTAAAATTGTAAAAAATTTCAAACCCGTAAATTAGCCATAAAATACCTAACCCTAAAATTATCATCTCCTTTGTCGACCACGGTCATCGCCGCCATCGTCACTCTTGTCATCTCCCTTGTCGGTAGTTGTCATCCTTGTCGTTGAGATAGCCGTCAGAGTCTTCGTGTATCACGATTTGCATCCATTTGATTCATTGGGTTTATCATCGATTGGGTTTTTCGGGTGTCTGTTCGTCAGGTGGAGGTGCGGTCGGGTAGGTTCAGTTGATGACAAAATTGATGGCCAATGTGGATATAGGGATTGAAATTAGGGTTTTCAAAGTTTTTGAGATTTTTTAAAGTTTTTTATTTTAAATAAAAAATTTTAAAATTATATAAATGAGACACATGTCACTTAACATAATATTTTAACGATTGTTACGATCGAGACATTTAAAATGATAACATTTGTAACATTAAACACTTGAATTAATCGAAATAAATAAATAAATAAATAAATAAATATATATATATATATATATATATATAATTTAATATTTTCTTATATTAAGTCATAATAAAAAATAATTATATAAAAACTTGAAATTTTCGTATCTCTCTCTACGCATGCATGTTCCCACTGGCTCTACACCCGTATTGTTTTGCATGTAAACATTGGGTAGTACTAATAACCTCA